GGTGTAGGAAAGTCAAAGGCGCCCCCCCAGGGCTGCTGGTGGGAGGGCGGGCGACGCAGCGGGCCAGGAGGAGGTGTCCTGGCTGTCGTCCAACCTCGTGGTCTGCACCATTAGAGGCCGTTGGAGGGAGTCCATGGAGTGTGTGTGTCACTGGGTTTCTCTCTGAGTCTCCCTGGTGCTCCTTCTCCCACGTGTGCTGGGGCCTGTTTTCTGCCCCGGTCCCCTTCGTTCTTGCCTTGGCTCTCGCCTGCCCTCAGTGGTGTCAGCGTCCCGTGCAGCTCCAGATGGTCTGTGTGAGTCTGTGTGTCAAGAGCTGAGCCGACGAGGTCACGAGGCTGATCACACGAACCCACGAGTGTCTGTGTGCTGTATCTATGTGCGGGAGGCTGTGGAACTGGCTGACCCTGGCTGTGAGCGGGGGTCCCGGAGCTGTAGTTTGCTGGGAAGGGGCTCCGGCCCTGGCTGTGAGCGGGGGTCCCGGAGCTGTAGTTTGCTGGGAAGGGGGCTCCCGCCCTGGCTGTGAGCGGGGGTCCTGGAGCTGTAGTTTGCTGGGAAGGGGGCCCTGGCTGTGAGCGGGGGTCCCGGAGCTGTAGTTTGCTGGGAAGGGGGCTCCCGCCCTGGCTGTGAGCGGGGGTCCTGGAGCTGTAGTTTGCTGGGAAGGGGGCTCCGGCCCTGGCTGTGAACGAGGGTCCCGGAGCTGGGAAGGGGCTTCCTCCAGGGCTGTTCCCAGGGCTGCTTTGCTTTGCAGAGTGGACAGTATGAGCTGCAGCCGGCTCCCCTGAGGACACGAGATGAAGGTGCTGAGGTGCATGGCAGGGGTCAGCGGCACTGGAGGCAGACTGTGCTGATTCCACGTCTGTCCTTTGGGCACTTGGAAAGCGTCTTTGTGCCTCTTTCCACCTTCCGCACCTCCCACCATGTCCTGTGGCCACGTGGTGCCCCCATCATGTGGCCAACCCTGGACTGTCCCACAGGGTCTGGAGCTGGTGCTGAGCTGGGCATGTCTCAGACCCTCCGAGTTCGCAGACAAGGGAGGGGCCTGGCGGCCAAGGCCCACGGGCTCTGAGATCAGTCACGGAACGGACCGGTCAGGCTGAGAGGTCTCGCTCGCTTGAGCCCGTGGGGCAGAGGAGCTCCTGAGGGAAGATGCGTCCTGAGACCTCGCAGGGTGGGGACGCTAACGGAGGAAGGAACGCTGGCAGGAAGGCGGGGATGCAAGCTCCGTCTCCCTGCAGCCCCAGCCTGCTTGTCTCTGGGGTGTGCAGAGTGGGACCTGCCCCTCCAGGGTCACCGCAGGACTGACTGAGATGGCACCTGTGAGAGGCTGGCGGTGGAGTGTTCCCGAATTTACTGAGGCTGGACAGCGAGCCAGGCCAAAGCGTGAGACTGTCAGATGCCAGGCCGGGGTTGTTCGATGGGAGTCTGCGGAGGCTTTTTGAGACGCAGAAATATAAAAGGATCTTACTTGGAGGAGAGAACCGGACTGGGCTCTGCTGTCCTGGTGCGAGGCAGGGTGGCTGGGTAGGAGGCCCAGGCCGCTCCCTGGAGCCTGGGTTGTGCACAGTGTGCTCAGACCCTGCAGCTGGGGATGCTGCGGTGGAACCGGGGTCTGCCAGGACCCAGAGTTTCTCGCTTCGGTGACTGGACCAGGATCCTTAAGGAGGATGTGTGTGTTTCTGGGTGCAGAACGAAGACGCGAGGGGTCTGCCAACATTTCCTTCCTCACTCCTGCTCTCGTGTGTGCTCTGCGATGGGCTCAGACGTCACGTGTGTGCGACTCCCTGGGAATTCACGTGCGTCTGTCGCCAGAGGTGCACGTGCTGTGTGGGTGCTCGCCATGGTGGGTGGAGTGGTCCGCAGTGCGCGGAGGCCAGTGGCAGGGTTGACGTGGTGGTGCTGCGAGGGGACGCAGGATGGAAGACGGCTCAGTGCCCAGTGCCTGACAAGCCCTGTCCTGCCAGGGATGGGATGAGCATGCGTTTACCCCACCATGTGAATGTTTCTGGAATGAGGTGAACATATGAGCAGATAATAATGGTTACAGATGCGAATTTACACATATAAATCCATACTAGGTAAATGTATATTGTACAAATATATTCTGGTATGTATTTTCATTGGAAGTCTAGCTCCAAAGTACTAAGCCTGTTTAAGGCACAGGAAATAGTTTAGAGTGGATGTCCCCAGACTTTGGGGCCCACAGAAGTGCCCAGGGACCTGTGGTGGTGCAGATTCCGGCCCACACCAGAGCTTCTGTTCTCCTCCGTCTGGAGAAGGCCAGAAATCTACACTTTCGGGCTCTCCAGGGGTCCCAGAAGGCGGCTCAAGGATTACACTTTAGAGGCATGGATTCAGACCAACCCATGTCATGTGGGAATGTGGCAACTCATTCTAGCTGTCAGTTCTTCCTGCAAATAACCCGAGCACCCACATGCATGCACACATGTGTGCGTGTTCACACACGCAAGCTAACTCTAGGCACACGTGTGTTTCAAGCTGTGGCTCGCACAGGTGCACACGTGTCTCTCTAGAGGCGTGATGCCGCTGCCTTGGTGGTGTGTGAGGCATGAGGTGTTCATTTGTGAGAACAGGGCTCTTGTGCACCCAGCAAGCTCCGGTGAGCCTCCCGCCATGAGAACTGGCCACAGACCACAGTGAGAGTGAGGTGCGCATTGCCGATGGAGTGGACGTTCGCGTCTTCCCAGCGAAGCCTCCCAAACGCCTTACTGGAAGGGAGATGGCGTAGACTTACCCCTGCACCTAATTATTTTGACTTTTTAGTATCAACTTTTAGAGATACGGTACCACCATGCCCGGCTCATTCTTTTTGTTTTGTAGAGAAGTTTTCACCATATCGCCCAGGCTGGTCTCACGCGACCCTCCCCCTGGGCTTCCCAAGCGTGGGGATTCCAGGCATGAGCCCCGCGCCCAGCCAGTGCCCCATTCTGAATTAAGCTTTTGGAAATGAGCTGCAGTGATGATGGGCTGGCTTCTGCTCGCAGGTGCCCTGGCTCTGGGGCCTGTGCCTGTGGTGAAGTCTCCTCTGCTTGTGTTGCAGGGAAGGTGGCCATCCAGAAGGAGGACTTGCAGAAGTACCACAACAGGGACACCTGGTTCCAGCTGCAGCACGTGGACGCCGACTCGGAGGTGCAGGTGAGACCCTCGGCACAGCCCCGGAAACCGAGCCCCGGGACGCCGTGGGGCCTCGAGATGCGCACGGCTCCGACTGTGGCTGAAGGCGTAGGTCAGGCTTCAGCCTCGATGGGGAATAACGATGAGCCGGCTTGTACTCGGAGTGCGCCCGGGCTCTGCACAGGGATTTTGGGTTTTCCTTTGTCATGAGCAACTGAGGCAGCCGTAAAAACCAACACGGTGAGAAAGAACAGGCACACGTAATTGAGGGCCAAGAGAACACGAGTGGGGAAGGGCCGAGTCAAGGTTAGCCTGCAGGGACCCTCGCTTCCCCACAGTTGCCTGGATGGGCTGCTCCCTGGCACTCGGCACCAAGAAGGGTCTGAGCTGAAAGAACGTGCTGGTCTCCCGAGTGTCCATTGTCGGAAGTGGCCAGGGGCTCATCCCGCCTTGCCGGGACTGTGTGCCGACTGGCGCTGGCCCCGGCCCTGTCCAGTGGGAGGAGCTTGTCCCACCTCCCCATGCAAGACCAGGGGCTCCAGTGCTGGGACCCACGTCCCAGACCCTTGTGTTCACGGCTGCTACGGTCACACGGTGCCCAGCTGCCCAGCAACAGCTGCTCCAGGCTTGCCTGTAAGAGAGGGAGTAGTGGGGGTCAGTCTGCCCAGCCCAAACCTGCACGAGCTCCCATGGGGTCACCCTGAGCCCTGGTCCATGACATGGAGCAGCTGCAAAGACTACAAGCAAGAGGCACTGTGGCCTGACCCTGGAACCTGGGAGGGCTTCCTGGGTGGGTCCTCAGCTGGGACCTCAGTGTGTGTCTGAGTGCAGAGTCCCAGCACAGGCCGCCGGGCTTGGAGCCAGCTCCGTCATCGGATTGCTTCTCTGCAAGCCTCAGTTTCCCCATCTGGGTGGGTTTGTGAAGCGGGCTGGAATGGCGTGTGTGCCACTCGATGGCGCCTGGCACATTGTAAAGTGGTGGTGGTGACTGTTATTTTTACACCTAGAGGCTGGCATCCGAGACAAATCCCCAAAATAGGTTCCTTGTGAGAACTTTGCCTGAGACTTCAGCAGGGGCAACTGGGTGGGTCAGATGGAGGCTCCGTGCCCACAGGTCCAGGGCAGATTTGGGCCAGGGGACTGGATGGCCTGGTGTCCTGTGGGAACCCTCGTCCCCCGGGAACCCTTTTTCCCTGGGAGCCCTCGTCCTCTGCGCTTCACTGGGTCAAGGTCGCCATCTGCCGAGATCACGGGCTGTGCACACTCCCATGGCCAGCAAAGGGTTCATTCATGAAGTTGACAGTGAGCCCAGCCAAGGGGACGGGGTGAGGCCCTGGACGGAAATGAAGGAGTGGAGCCAAGAGGCCCTGGGAATGGCCCTGCCCTAAGGGACCTGTGCTAATTGTGCTTCACACTTAATTAACTCCGCTTCCTAGGAAAGCGCTGGCTGGGGAACCCACACGTGCTGTGGAAAGTGAAGGACGCTGTGATTACTGCAGAACTAATGACTGTCCTCGCAGTCCCAGAGCACAAGGGCCCCAGCGCGCTGCTCAGCGGACCCTGGCGTCCCAGCAGAAAGGCGGGGCTTCCCACGTGCTGCCCGGGAGGAGGCGGGGCTTCCCACGTGCTGCCGGGGAGGGAGGCGGGGCTTCCCACGTGCTGCCCGGAAGGAGGCGGGGCTTGCTGACTGGGCCGCTCCCGCCTGCGTGTTCCCGGCACTTCTATCCTGGGATACCCGCGTCACTGGGGTCTCTGAGCAGCAGGCAGAGTGCAGCCTCATCGTTCTCCTCAGATTCAAGTTTGTTTTTTTTGGCAGGTATAGCTTGTCCTCTTTCTTGCCTTTTTTTTAGATTGATTTAATTTTGAAATGGTTATAGATTTATAGGAAGACACCAAAACAGTACACAGGAGTGGCGAGGGGTGAATCCCCTCCTTGCCCTGAAAACGGAAGGCCATGCTCCCTTCTCCCGGCTTCCCCAGGCACCGCCCTGTGCAGCTGGTGCAACACCAACCAGGATGCCCACATTTGTGCCATCCACGGACGTTACCCAGATTTCACCAGTTCACAGGCACATGCTTCTGTGTATGTGTGTCTCTGTGTGTATTCTATGCTATTTTTTCCAGTTTTTTATGTGGTAAAATAGAGACATCATGAGATTTACCATTTTAACCATTTAAAATGTCCAATGCAGTGGCACAGTATTAAATGTATTCATAATATTGTACAACCATCACCACCACCCATCTCTAGAGTTCCTTTCATCTTGCAAAGTGGAACCTCTGTCCCCTCTGTCCCCTGGCTAGAGGTTTATTCAAGCGCTTCCGTCCCTCCCCCCCCCCCGGCAGCCCCATCGCACTCTGTCTCTGATGCGGGCCACTCCCCGTGGCTCATGGCAGTCAGCTCTGCCCTGCTGGTCTTCCTGAGGCTGATGTCGCTCCGCACGACGTCCTCCAGGTCGCTTGTGGTATCGGAACCTCCTTCCTTCTGAGGCTGAGGAATGATCCGAGGTGCGAAGCGTGTGCTGTTGGTCCAGTTGCCTGTCGATGGGCTGTTGTGACAGTCATCACAGGGGAGACTGTGCAACACCAATTAGGACTCAGACATTTCATCTCCACAAAGTTGTAAATAAGAATGCCGCCGGCTGATCTCACGGCTGGTAGACTCTCATAATTAACGCCCGAGGCGGCTGGCATGCCCAGGGCCAAGCCTGGCGTCCTTCAAGCCTGCCTCTCACTGTCCGGAACATGAGGATCCTGGACCAAGTGGTGTCAGTCTCCCGGGAATTTGCGCTCTATGGAAGGCAAATGTGAGCTGTTGTCTAAAGGGCAGGAGGCAGGGTCAGTGCTCTCTGATGCCCGCTGGACCCGGGCGGGTGCTGCCCTGCTCGCTTCACCGACGCAGTCAGCCACAACGCCGCCCAAAATGTGGCCATGACAGGGAGCAGCGTCCCTGCTGGACTCCAGCCAACCTTTAAAACCTCAACTCCAGGCTGGGCTTGGTGGCTTATGCCTGTAATCCCAGTACTTTGGGAGGCCAAGGCGGGTGGATCACCTGAGGTTGGGAGTTTGAGACCAGCCTGACCAACATGGTGAAACCCCGTCTCTACTGAAAATACAAAATTAGCCGAGCGTGGTGGTGGGCGCCTGTAGTCCCAGCTACTCAGGAGACTGAGGCAGAAGAATCGCTTGAACCCAGGAGGCGGAGGATGCAGTGAGCCAAGATTGTTCCCCCACACTCCAGCCTGGGCAACAAGAGTGAAACTCCATCTCAAAAGAAGCAGCAGCAGCAGCTCCAGTCTCAGGGCCGCCATTTTATCATAAGATGTCACAGTAACCGTTTTCAGGAAGGCAGGGGGGTGGCAGTGCGGCTTCTTGAGTCCCTCCGCTCTGATTCCCAGGAAACGTCCCGTGGCCGGACAGTAAGTGTCACAGACGCGGCCCACGGGGGAGGCCACTGAGTGTGTCGCAGAAGTGGGGGAAACACAATTAAACCTTTCTTGCTTCCTTCTGGAACGGACACTGTTGGAAAGTCTTCGTTAAATCACTTTATGATGCAGCGTTGTGCTCTCTGACCCTCTCCCGACGCAGGGCAGTGTCAGCATCAGATGCCAGCGGGGGCACTGCCTGTGACAGCGAGGCATCGCGGTGATCTGGGCGCCTGGGGGGTCACTGAGCTCCTTTATAAGCCGGGCATTCAAGTGCATCTGTGACGTATTCAGGAAATAGCACGGCCCTGCGAGGGATCACAGCAAACCCCCGGGTCCGCTGTCCAGAGACACCTGCGTGTTTTCCCCCTTGGAGCCTTCCAGTTGCACCATGAAATCAGTGATTGGGGTAGAAATTCCAGCCTCCTGCTACAGCCTCTGGGAATTTTGTGTTTGTGCAGCAGACAGTCCTCTTGGAAGGATTTTCAGAGCAAACAAAGTCACTGTGTCATCCAGGGCCAAGCTTTTACGTTTCTCCAGGGTTGCAGGAGGAGAGGGCCAAGGCTAGGCTTCCTTCCTCGTGGCCTCTGTGTCCCCTCTCACCTGCCCGCTGACTTTGTCTCTTCTCTGCAGCCGGCGTGGAACAGCCCTGCATCCAAGGCGCCTCTGTCCTGGCTGCCTTCTGGGCTGCTGCCCGCCCAGCTGGGGATGCAGCAGCCGGTTGCGGGGGCCAGGACGCTGACCTGGCCCCGCGCACTGCTCTCTCCCTGGGGAAGGCCTTCCTGAGAAAGATGGATGGGGACCACTGGCTGCTTTTTTAAAATTAACTCTGTTTTGGGGGCAGTTCTGTGTTCACAGGGAAACTGAGCGGAGTACGGAGTTTCCATACACCCCTCAGTAGCCCCCGCCCAGGGCCCCATGGGTGACACCGGGTGACACTGCAGCCACGCATTGTCAGGAGCTCAGCCGTGGTGGACGCTGGGCCCCTTTGCTACGTCTGTGAGTTCGCAGGAGTGCAGTGCCAGGGACCTCAGTGCAGCATCTAGGCAGGTGCCAGGATCGGCAGCCAGGTCCTCTCATTCCTTTCCTGTGGGACTTTGTGCCTTTTCCCTTTGCTCTTGGTAGCCTGGTTAGAGGTTTATTAATTTTATTGGTCTCTCAAGGAATTTGCCTTTGGCTTTGATTTTTCTCTGTTGGTTTCTGATCTGACTTCTGGTTTCTGTTCTTGGGCTCTGGGTTTAGTTTGCTCATTTTCCTCAGTCTCCCAGCCCTAAGCTCAGGTCAGGGTTCGGATCTCCCTTCTGCTCTAGTCTGTGCGGCCGGTACTCCAGATTCTGTCAAACCCTGACCACGGCTCCCGCTGCGTCCCACTGATTTTGATGAGTAACACTTTCATTTCTGTTTATTCTAGAACATTTTAAAATGTGTCTTGTGTTCTCCAATTTGTGTGTTATTTAGAACTGTGTCGTTTAACCTCTAAACGTTCTGGGATTCTCCAGCCTGCGCTGGCACCTGCAGATTTACTCAGCGACTTTTCTGGCAGGAGAAAGGGCCTTCCAGGGGTGGATTTTGTTTGTTCCCACTCCCGAATCAGCAGAAGACGGAAGCGCACAAGTCAGCTGGTCAGGAAGGATTCACGCTGCAGGAGCAGAGCAGCCTCAGGACCTGATGGTGCCCAGCCAGGTGCCCCTGGACCCAGCCGGGACCCAGGAGAGCACACGGGGCTGCACAGCCTGCTGCCAGGACCCGGGAGAGCACACGGGGGTCGCACAGCCTGCTGCCAGGAGCCAGGAGAGCACATTGGGGCCGCAACCTGCTGCTGGGGACCACGACCCCCGATGCGGTGTGACTCTTCCTGAAGCTCCCTAACAGGAATCGAGCTGCCTCCATCTGCACAGCCTCTTTCTAATCTGAACACTTCTGTCCTGAGGGAGTTTGCGCCCGCCATTTAAGAATGGGATGAAGCGGTGGGTTCTCAGTTACTCTTGGGCCAGGCACTTCCTCCTGTCTTTTGGTGTTCAGGGCACTGCTTTAGCCCGTGGACAGCCACAGAACAGAGCCTGGCATTTGGGGTTCGGGTCTGTGATCCCCCTGCATTTGTGATCTGTGTTGGTAGATCTGTTTGCTGAGGGTCTGGGTTTTTGAAAAACAGCTTAGTGGCATATGTGAAGATGCTATTTTTAACTTGTATAGGGAATAAATATTTCTTGACTAATTTTTTGGGTATTATTTTATGGTTTATTTTTCTTATTAGGTGATTTACCTCTCAAGGCGGGCTAGGTGTCTGGAAGATTTTTGAAGGAACTTTAAGGTTTTTTAACGTTTAGGTTGGTGGGGCCTAAGCGAGGTCCCTGCTCCATCTGAGGTTCTGCACCAGGCCACATGCTGCAGGGCTGCCGTCGGTTCTGCCGTCCACGTCTTAGTGCCACGCATTCTGCCCGTCCCTCCTGCCCTCCCACAGGCAGTGACAAGCCCTGGGGAACAGGCCCTGCCCTTGCTGGAGCCTCAGGAGCAAGAGCTTAGGGCCGGGCCAGGCAGAGCTCCTGATGCATGGATGAGTCTGTGTTCATTCCATCCATTCAGTGCCATTCAGGCTGGAGCAAATACAGGGACAGTGGCACACACAGATAGGCACGCACAGCCGCACACACACACAGGCAGACACAGTCACATGTACACACAGGCGGTGCACACACTGGCAGACATCCACACACAGTTGCATGTACAGACAGGTCAACAAACACGCATACACAGGTGGACACACACAGTCGCACACACACACAGAAGGACATGCACACAGCCACACACACACACAGACAAGAAGACACACAGGCAGATACACACACACGCAGATGCACACACAGCTGCTCACACACATAGTTGCATGCACAGAAGGACACACACAGCCACACACACGGGCAGACGCACACACAGACAGGCGGACACTGACAGGCAGATACACAGTTTCATGCACACACAGGCAGATGCACACAGCCGTGTGCACACAGATGGACACACATACATAGTTGCACGCCCACACAGACACATAGCCACATGCACAGACAGGCAGACACACACAGCTGCATGCACACACAGGCAAACATGCACACAGTTGCACACAGGTGGACACGTACACACAAGCAGATACAGTCACATGCACACACAGGTGGACACACAGTCGCATGCACACTGGTGGACACAGCAACACACACAGACGGACACACAGTTGCACACAGGTGGACACACAGCTATACACAGGAGGACACGCACACACAGCAGCACAGATGGACACACATAGTCACATATATGCATAGGCAGACACACACACAGTTGCATGCACCCAGGTAGACACAGCCGCACACACAGGAGGACACACAGCTGCACACACACACACACAGCACAGATGGACACACACAGTCAAATGCACAGATGGACACAGGTGGACACACACACAGGTGGACATGCACAGACAAGTGGACACACACAGATGGGCACACACACACCACAGCATGCTTATACAGGTGGACACAGCCAGACACACAAACCGCACACACACATAGGCAGACACACAATCGTACTCACAGATAGGTGGACACACACCCACAGCTGTGCACACAGACAGGTGGACAGACACAGCAGCACGCAGAGACAGATGGATCTGTAGAGACAGGTGGACCCGCAGGGCAGCCTTGCTGTCTGTTCTGCTGGAAGCCCCCATGAGCCTTGCTCTCTGTGTGAGCCTTGCTCTCCGTGTGAGCCTTGCTGTCTGTGTGAGCCTTGCTCTCTGTGTGAGCTCTCCGAACTTCCTGCGGGTTCCATGCAGCCTTGCCCGCGGGGAGGTAAAGGCAGGCAGTGGCCCCGGTTCAGGAGAGAGCTTGCTTCCCCTCCGCTTTGCCCCAGTGGACACACGTGAGCAGCTGCAGCGTCAGTGTCTTTGGGGGGCTGCTTCACCGAATGACCATCTCCCACATGGTTGGACCCCTCACTTCTGAGGCAGCGACCTGCTCTCAGCAGAGCCAGGAGCCTGGGCAGCCACATGGGGCTGAGCGGCCAGGCAGGCAGCTCTCCTGAAGGAAGGCCACGGCTGGGACCCTGCGTCCGGGGGTGGAGTGGAGGGGCCAGACGTGCCCGTCGGCTGCGGCGGGGTGGAGCCACCTGCTCCCTTTGCCTTCTAGGCTTTCCCTGGGCTGTGCGGCCCTGGCAGCCTGTGGGAGCACCACAGCCCCTGACACCCCGTCCTCATGCCTTGCAGGGCAAAGTGCACCTGGAGCTGCGGCTGAGCGAGGTCATCACAGACACTGGGGTCGTCTGCCACAAGCTCGCCACACGGTAAGACGCGTCCTCACCAGGGACTGAGCACACAGCGAGTGGCCCGTCTGGCTCCCGAGGAGCACACAGGGGTTTTCAAACCAACACACAGAAATTTCCAGAGCCGGTGGCTCCCCAGGATGACGCTGTTTAGAGGTTCTGGCCCCCCCAGGATGACACTGTTTTAGAGGTTCTGGCACCGCAAGACGACAGTGTTTTAGACGTCCTGGGCCCCCAGGATGACGCTGTTTTCGGGGTCCTGCCCCCCCGATGACACTGCTTTAGGTGTCCTGTTACACACTCCTGGCGTCCTCACTAAAGCACATGCTCACCTTAGAGGTGTTGTTTTGGGCTTTTGCGAACGGCCGGCGTGATTCAGTGTCACACCGAGGCAGAGCGGCTGTCATGGGCCCTCCCTGCCTTCCAGGGAGGAAACCGCATCTCACAGCTTGAACCGAGGCCTCCTGCCCGACCCAGAGCTGTCTCGCCATTTGCCCGGGGGTCTGCGCTCCCTCCTGATGCCGCCTCTGCTTCTCTCCTCAGCATCGTCGAGTGCCAGGGCCTCCCCATCGTGAATGGGCAGTGCGACCCCTACGCCACCGTGACGCTGGCAGGACCCTTCAGGCAAGTGGCCTCATGCCTCAGGTTTCTGTTTCTGGTCCTGGGGGGCGAGGGTCCAGCTCTGAAATCACGAGGCCACTGCCTCATTTGGGAGGAGGCAGGAGGCTGTGCTTTGAGGTAGAATATGTAATTTTTACTTCCTTTTGTTTTCTTTATTGCTCCAAAATTGCTCTGTAGAAAACGAAGCCTTCGTGCTCTTCGTGCTGAGTATTTTTGTCTTGGTAAAGGTTCGGGATTTGCATACCATCTGGAGTTGGAGACGAACAGAAATATTTATGAAATAAATAAAGGCAATAAGTGACTTGTGCATTTGAGAGCTCAGTTTTATGACTGAGAGACTTGGAATCAGCAGTGTTACTTTAATCCCAATCCTTTCTCTCTCAATAACAGATCGGAAGCAAAGAAGACGAAAGTAAAGCGGAAGACCAACAACCCCCAGTTCGATGAAGTGTTTTATTTTGAGGTTGGTATCTTCGTGGGTGAACGTCAAGTGCAGGCTGCACCCGAGACACATTGGCAGAAAGTCTGGATCAGAACCATCTCAGTCTCTTCCCTCTGGAAGTTCCTCCCGGAGAGGAGGCAGCCCCGCTGGCCCTGGGACCCGTGGCCCCAAGACCTTCCCTCCTCTCCCGAGAGAGAAAGGCCTTTCGTTGTCTCCCGAACTGGCCCAGATTTGAGTTAAAAGATGACAGGTTAATGCTTTCCAAATTACCAGGACTTTGGGGTTTTTTGTTGTCTTTTTGGCTGCTCCGCCCAAGTGTCCCTGAGCAGGTGGAAGGCTTGTTCCAGTGGAAATAGGCAGGGTTTTGAAGCAAAGCGGGGAAGGATTCAGACACAGAGATCCTCTCAGAACATGAAGCACCAAAATCCATGAGAAGGAGGGTGCAAGAGCTGCACCTGGTAGAGTGGGACCCACTGTGCCACTTGGGGACGGCTGCATCTCATGGAGTGGGGACCTGCCATGTGGCCGGCGCGGTTTGGGGATGGCTGTCTGCAGGGCCTTTAGACAGATGCTCTTCCCATCCACAAACCTTCCCGTGCACAAGCCCTGGAGATGTGAGGATGGATGAGGCCTCTGTGGCAGGAGCATGGCCAGTCACACCTGAGGGGTCAGGCGGGCTCCCCTGAGCCATGATGGCTGAGCGGCGCTCAATGCATGCAGCTCTGGGGGACCATTGGAGAGTGGACCTACCAGTCTGAGCAGGACCTACGGGCACTGCTGAGGCTCAAAAGGGCCCCACAGGCAGAGGTGGGAACTTGGTGTCCGAAGCCAGACCCAGGCTTTCAGGGCCGCTGTGAGGAGGGCTTTGGAGGTGGAATCTGTTCTCTGTCTCAAACGGAAGCCCTTACTTAGAGACAGGCGGAGAAGATGGTTTTGCCAGAGCAAGGGAAGGCAGGGAGCTGCCAGGCTCCCAGGGGCAGGCTGGGCCCTGTTGGCGGTGCAGGAGGCGTGTGGCATGGACGGAGTTCCAGGTGGCAGCTTCCCCCGGCTCGGCTGCCACACATGGAGCTGTCATATACACGGTGGGGTTGTCGGCTGCCACACGTGGAGCTGTCATACACACAGTGGGGTACAACTCGCCCACTGCCCGGCCACACCCGGGTGCTCATCACGCTTGCGGTGTTCTCACACCGTTTCTACCGTGTGCACTCCCATTCACTCTGTAAAGACGTGGGTCTCAGCCTACTGGAGTAATTTAGTGACCACAGAGAGTCTGAAAACCGTGGTCTGCATCACCACCTGTGGGGCTCCAGGGAAGGCCCGGACCTTGCTGACCACTGCCGTGTGGGACACACGGGGCCCTGCTCTTTGGGGTCTGTGACCTTTCACTCCGTCTCCACCCCTTCCTTAGCAGCCATGGACCTCTTTCACCAGGACCCTGTCTCTTTCGGCTTCAGCTGCTTCTGACCCAGCTGGAGGCCGAGCCCCGGAGGGGGAGCGTGTCTCCCGCAGGCTGTGGTCGGACAGCCACCTACCAGGAGCAGACCCAGGAAAACAGGTGTTCCGTTTCCATGGGAAGCAGCGTCTGTACCTTTTTCTTCCAGGATCACAACTAGACACATTAAGGCCCTTTAACTCTCTAAATGAGATTAAATAATCTCATAAATTTGGTAGGAGCTGCTTTCATTCACTCAACAGATGTGTCAGGTGCCAGCACTGTGCCGGTGATCAGCTGGTGATAAGATGTGGGAGAAAACAGAGGAGTCCAAGGCCACCACACCAGACCAGCATGGGAGGGACGCAAACAGACAAGCCCCTACAATAGCTTCCGACCTGCCCTGCAGAGAGGACATGAGGCAGGGGCACTGCGGGGGACGCTTCCTGGAGAAGGCATTGCCTCACCTGGTCTGCAGAGAGGGTGTGAGGCAGGGGCACTGGGGGGGACGCTTCCTGGAGGAGGCATTGCCTGACCTGCCCTGCAGAGAG